GCTGAGATCCTCATTCTTGAGGATCTAGGAACCTGCCTGGGTTCTATCTGTCCATCCATCCATACCAGCAAAACAGTTATAGGTGGAATCAACTGAAGCCCTCCTGGGTCATCTACAGGTTTGGTGCTCCTAGAAGAAGCAGGAGACAAATCAGGAGAGGCAGACTGGATATGGGCCCTGACACCCTGAGAATGAGGGAGGGGACCCAGCTCTGAGTCTAGCACTCTGAGGATGAATAAAGGTGCTCAAGTCTGAGGGAGCCCCAACATTCTGAATATGAAGGGTTGAACCTAGCTCTGGGCACAGGGACATTAAGAACAAGGGTGGAGGGGCAACCCAGTGGCATGATTAAGGTGCTGGATTCCTACATGGCTGACCGTGGTTCAAGTCTAGAACCAGCAGCTTGAAAATCACAACAAATAAATAGATAAATAAACGTGTTTTCTTTTGTAGTAGGGGGAGGGGCAGCATGTGGCATTGTGGTTAAGGTACTAGACTCCCACATTGTCAATTGTGGTTTCAGCCCCAAATGCAACAGCTTGAAACTCATGCCAGATGTGCATCTGTGCATGCCCAGAAGACTGAGAGGAGAATGGAGGAGAGGAGATTGCAGTGTGGCCATCCCCCAGGGTTTGATTTCTCACTTTGTCTCTGTGTCTCCAGCAAGAGCATGCACCCTATAGCAAAAGTCTCTTAAAATTTTTTGTTTAAAAGGGGGACCAGCAGTTAGCGTAATGGCTATGTCGCTGAACTCCCATGTAGCTGACCATGGTTAGAGTCCTGGACCCGGTGGCTTAATCTCATACCAGGCACATGTGCACGTATGCCCAAAGTCCCGAGAAGAGAATGGAGGAGAAGAGATTGCAGTGTGGCCATCCCCCCTGGGGGGTGATTTCTCGCTTTCTATCTCTCTGTCTCTCTCTGTCTTTTTGGCGAGCACACGTGCCCTATAGCAAAAACCTCTCTAAAAAAAAAAAAAAATCTTTGTTTAAAAGGGATCAGCAGATAGCATAATGGTTATGTCCCTGGACTTCCCCATAGTCAACTGCAGTTTGAGTCCTGGACCCATTGGCTTAATCTCATACCAGGCACATGTGCACGTATGCCCAAAGTCCCGAGAAGAGAATGGAGGAGAAGGGATTGTGGTGTGGCTGTCCCCACTGGGAGGTGATTCTCGCTTTCTGTCTCTCTGTCAAGTGCATGCGCCCTATAGCAAAAGAAAACCTCTCTCTCTAAAAATAAATAAATAAATAAATAACAAGGGTGGAGATCCAGCACTGATCCAAGGCACCCCCCCCAAAAAAAAAAACTATCCAGCTCCAAGTCTTACACCCTGAAAATGAGGTGAGTCCATCTAAGATTTGCAGCACTCTGAGAAAAGACCCACTTCTAAGCCTAGGAATTCAAAAATGAAAGGCCTAGCCTTCAGCCTAAACATAAGAATGACCAGACCCTACTTGGACTTCCAACATCCGTCAAATGACTAGGGCATCAGTTCTTAATCCAGACACTCTCAAAATGGCATGTGTCCCAGAGTCCCAAACTCCTAGAGATCCTGCTCACCTGGAAGCTTGTCCACTGGAATCATTGGGGCCAAGAACCCAAGCTTTTGAGGTCCATCCTTCCCACCCCATCTCAGTCTCAGCCTGGAACATAAAAAGGCAGCTGTCTGACAATGTGGGGCACTTTAGACTCCACCAAAAGGGTTTACTAAATAAAGGGTCAGGACAGGAATCAGTAAGAATCATGAAGTGGGATGTGGGGTGGGAGAGGTGGTTCCAGAATCAGACAGGTTCAGTTGACAGTCATAAGGGGTGGGGATGGATGTGGTCTGTGGGCATCAGGGTATAGTGTGTAGGGATCAGAGGCTGAAGGAACAATGGCAACCACTTACCAGAGCCCCAGTACCAGGGCCCCTGCTGCCAGTCCTAGAAAGGAGAAGATTCCCAAAGCGACCAGCACAGCCACCTGTTCCAGGGGGTCTCTGTGATCTAAGGGGGAGGGCCACATGCCACTGAGTGAGTCTAACCAAACTCTATGTCCTCTTGGGACTTCTCTCTGGGGCTTCCCATCCTCCACCACCTTTGTCCGCCAGTCCAAGCTCACCTAGCAGCCTTGGGCCTGACTGGAGAGAGGGCCTCAGTGGAACACCGTTATCCACCTGAGACTCGGACCCCAGCCGTGAGTGTAGCGAGTCCCCAGCTGGTAACTCCTTTGACAGGGATTCTGAAAGAAGGTAAGACCTGAGAAGTGTTCATACACTGGGGGGTGGGGGGCGAGGGTCAGGCCTACGCTAGATGTGGGGGTGCCTAAGAGGCTGAGCCTAAAAGGCCATGGGTAGCCCCTGGAGACATAGGACATAGCTTATAGGAGTAGAGCTTTTAACTACAGGGCTGGAGGCTGAGGGGCAGGGCTGAAGCTAGAACAGGTCTGCAGACAGTAGAGGTTAATGCCTGGAACAGCAATTACGGTGCCTGCGTGGGTGTGGCATGTGGCACAGGCAGCTTTCCACAAATGGGTCCAGATGATAGACACTTTAGGGTGGGGCCTCCACCTTTTTCTTTGGCTTTGTCTCTCACCAGTACTTGGAGTCCCCCAGGCCTCTGGGCTCCAGGCACTCCAGGTGCCAGCATCCAGAAAGTCCCGGGCACTGACTCGCACAGCGTGGGGCAGCCCTGCCACGGCATCTGTGATCACCTCCTCCAATCCAGCCGACTCCACCTGGGGGGGAAGATGGTTTATCAGCAAATTCTCAAGGTTGTAAGTGCAAGGCCTACCTTTCTCCCAGTCCCATCCCTGTCACTTCGGTGAGCCATTCAGGCCATATTTAGTGGCCAGTGAGGTGGAATTTACACTTAGTGTTCGGAAGACAGTATGTGTAGTGATTATTAAGAGAGGCTATGACCACCAACTTTCTGAGTTCAAATCTTTTCTATACCACTTACTGAGTGACCTTTGGGCTCTCTGCACCCCAGTTTCTTCATTTGTAAAGTCAGGAGAATATACTAAACCAGGTAGTGTATATAAAATGTGTAGCATGGTGCCTTGCAGGCAAGAAACACTAAATAAACATTGGCTATTTGTTGCTGCCACGCCCCAGACCTGATGCCAGTCAATCTGACATCTCCAAGGTGAGAATTTACTATTACCCTCAGTTGGGTATATGAATGTTTGTAGGAGGATATGCCTCTGGGTGAAAGGCACTCCTTTTCCTAGAAAAGTTATTTTTAAAAAGCCACTGCTGCCTTCCCACAGATGAGCTTACATCATAGTTACAGCCCCAGAGGGCAGGGATTCAGGCTGTTGCTCCCCTGTGCAACTCCAGCCCTCAGCGCAAAGACTGACCCACAGGGAGCACCCTGAAGGGGGGGGGGGTGTATTGGGTCTTCAGTGACCTGTCAGCACTGGGAATGTCACGGAACACCAGGATCATGAAACCAGAGACAGGACCCACAAGTCTAGGCTGGGATGTATTTCAGAACTCACTGTGGACCAGACTGGATGCTGCGCTGGACGGTATTGCAATCGGAATCTAAGCAAGAAGTGGGGCTGGCGCAGCCAGGAGGTGGGGTATGTCCAGCTGGCATGCAGGCGTCGGGGGTAGCCAGGTACTGACTCTACCCGAAGCTCCCGGGGTGGGTCAGGGCGCACTGTGGGTGGTAAGACAAAGTCAGGGTAGGTTACAAGTAACCATTCCTTTCCTGCTGCTTCCCAAGGTGTGTGCTTAGAGGTGCTCTAGCCAAGTGTTTCCAAGAGGGGAGGGGAAATCTTAAACTAGATCATCTATTAGGCTCTGGACCTATCACTATTAATTAAATGAGCTAAGATGTGGAGGCAGATCAAAAAAAAGAAATAAAAAAGATGTGGAGGTAGGGTTTTGAGAGGATCGTTGAATAACAAACAAGTGATTCTGCTTCCCATCCAAGTGTGATGAACTGGCCCAAATTCTAGCCAGAGTTTTAGGGCCCCCCCTCCCATACACAGATCAAAAGGAAGGAGAGGCCAGCAGGGGCTTTCCTTGGGCAAAGAGGGCATGAGAGATGGCTGCCTTCAGCACAGGGCCTAGAAGCAGGAAGTCTGCTAGGCAGCCAAACAGACATGTGTAATGGCAGCAGCCTCTAGAGTGTGTGCTAAGGGCTCTGATCCCCTTGGCTTCTTGGTCTCCATGGGGCCATCTGTGGGTGAAATAAAGTCTGTGTTGGGAGGGAACTGTTTGGAATCTCTGGCGGGGGCAGGGGTCTGTGTGGGGTCTCTGGTGGGGATCTAGGGGAGATCTAGGGATGGGTACTCACAGATTTCCCGTAAGCTCACATCCAGCAGGCGTGTGTTGGCACCCAGTGGGTTCACCTCTGTTACATTAATCCGGTACTGGCTCCAGAACTCAGCCCCATAGACCACACAGCGGGCAGCCCCCAGGGGATCCTGTGGGCATGGCCAGGGCCCTGAGGATGGACTCATCCTAGGAGGGAGATGTGGTCTTGTGCATGGCTTCTCTCGGTGCATCCTGACCCACCCCAGAGGCTTTGGAAGTAACCATTGTGGGACCCAGCTGGAGATCTCAGCCTCTCCCTCGTGTCCTACCTCTGACTATCAGGACTTGGCACTGTCTTCTTCCTATGGAAAGGAGACCATCTGAGATCAGATAGGAAAAGAGTACCTCTGTCCTCTTTGAGGCTTTCCTTAGGACGTCCTTCCCTGCCTCCCATACCCACGTGTGCCGGCACACCCAAATGTGTAGGCACACACTCCTGATCATGCACACACCTGTATGAGGCGAGGTAGCGGGTGGGTAAACCGCTGACCTGGCTGGGACTCCAAGTGCAGGAGAAATTCTCATAGTCGACTGCCTGGCAGGAGACCACAGGGCGGGCTGGGGGGTCTAAAGGCAGAGGATGCAGCTGGAGATTGAGCAGTCCCAAGTCCGTCCTATACAAGAGGGCTTCCTCAGGTCCCAGATACCCTCAGGAGCCCCATGTCTCATCACTGCCTTTCTCCTCAACTCACAGCCCAGCTTCAGGGTCACTGCGCCCCCAAGTGCACCATCCAGGGTCCGGCAGATGTAGGTGCCCTCATCAGTGCTGTGTGCCTGGGCCAGGACCAGTTCATGCCCTAGCCCAGAGTCAGGTCCCTGGAGCAGCCTTGGCTCCCCATCCCGAAACCAGGACACTGGGGCCCTGGAGGTGAGATGATAAAGAGATTTAAAGTATAAGTTAGATCATGCTAAAGCTCTCCATTGGCTTCTGACTCCATTTACAAAATACCTAAATTCCTTTCATTGGCTTATGAAGCCCCTTTGCGATCTCCCCCTTGCCTTCCTTTCTTCAGCTCTTATCTCTCCCTTCCACCCACTTCATTCCAATCACAGATGACTTTTTCTCAGGACATTGAGCTCATTCTTTTCTTTTTAAAGAATTATTTTATTTAACTTTATTTATTCATTCGTTTATTTTAATTTGGCCAGAGAGAGGCAGAGACAGAGGGAAAGTGAGAAAGCAAGTTACCAGGTCCAGGACTTGAACTCTGGTCTGCCATGTGGGAGTGTCCAGCGCCTTAACCACCACGCCACCAGCTGGTCCCATTGAGCTCATTCTTACATAGGGCTTTTTTTTTTTTTTTCCTGAAGAATGCATCACTCCATCAGAGAGAGACAATTGAGAGGGAGAGGAGAAAGGATCTCCCATTTTGGGCACTCATACATACCCAGTGTGTTTCTCAAAGTGTAGGGGCCGCAGCCTCTAGAGTGTGTGCTAAGGGCTCTGATCCCCTTGGCTTCTTGGTCTCCATGGGGCCATCTGTGGGTGAAATAAAGTCTGTGTTGGGAGGGAACTGTTTGGAATCTCTGGCGGGGGCAGGGGTCTGTGTGGGGTCTCTGGTGGGGATCTAGGGGAGATCTAGGGATGGGTACTCACAGATTTCCCGTAAGCTCACATCCAGCAGGCGTGTGTTGGCACCCAGTGGGTTCACCTCTGTTACATTAATCCGGTACTGGCTCCAGAACTCAGCCCCATAGACCACACAGCGGGCAGCCCCCAGGGGATCCTGTGGGCATGGCCAGGGCCCTGAGGATGGACTCATCCTAGGAGGGAGATGTGGTCTTGTGCATGGCTTCTCTCGGTGCATCCTGACCCACCCCAGAGGCTTTGGAAGTAACCATTGTGGGACCCAGCTGGAGATCTCAGCCTCTCCCTCGTGTCCTACCTCTGACTATCAGGACTTGGCACTGTCTTCTTCCTATGGAAAGGAGACCATCTGAGATCAGATAGGAAAAGAGTACCTCTGTCCTCTTTGAGGCTTTCCTTAGGACGTCCTTCCCTGCCTCCCATACCCACGTGTGCCGGCACACCCAAATGTGTAGGCACACACTCCTGATCATGCACACACCTGTATGAGGCGAGGTAGCGGGTGGGTAAACCGCTGACCTGGCTGGGACTCCAAGTGCAGGAGAAATTCTCATAGTCGACTGCCTGGCAGGAGACCACAGGGCGGGCTGGGGGGTCTAAAGGCAGAGGATGCAGCTGGAGATTGAGCAGTCCCAAGTCCGTCCTATACAAGAGGGCTTCCTCAGGTCCCAGATACCCTCAGGAGCCCCATGTCTCATCACTGCCTTTCTCCTCAACTCACAGCCCAGCTTCAGGGTCACTGCGCCCCCAAGTGCACCATCCAGGGTCCGGCAGATGTAGGTGCCCTCATCAGTGCTGTGTGCCTGGGCCAGGACCAGTTCATGCCCTAGCCCAGAGTCAGGTCCCTGGAGCAGCCTTGGCTCCCCATCCCGAAACCAGGACACTGGGGCCCTGGAGGTGAGATGATAAAGAGATTTAAAGTATAAGTTAGATCATGCTAAAGCTCTCCATTGGCTTCTGACTCCATTTACAAAATACCTAAATTCCTTTCATTGGCTTATGAAGCCCCTTTGCGATCTCCCCCTTGCCTTCCTTTCTTCAGCTCTTATCTCTCCCTTCCACCCACTTCATTCCAATCACAGATGACTTTTTCTCAGGACATTGAGCTCATTCTTTTCTTTTTAAAGAATTATTTTATTTAACTTTATTTATTCATTCGTTTATTTTAATTTGGCCAGAGAGAGGCAGAGACAGAGGGAAAGTGAGAAAGCAAGTTACCAGGTCCAGGACTTGAACTCTGGTCTGCCATGTGGGAGTGTCCAGCGCCTTAACCACCACGCCACCAGCTGGTCCCATTGAGCTCATTCTTACATAGGGCTTTTTTTTTTTTTTTCCTGAAGAATGCATCACTCCATCAGAGAGAGACAATTGAGAGGGAGAGGAGAAAGGATCTCCCATTTTGGGCACTCATACATACCCAGTGTGTTTCTCAAAGCACCAGCTCCAGGACTCAAACCATGCAGTCAGTCATGTGAGAGCTGGCTGCCTTAACCACCAGGCCATGGAACCAGCCCGACCTCAGGGCTTTTGCACTTGCTGTTCCTGTCAGGAGTGCTTATACCCTAATTTGTATATGGTTTCCTCATTCCTGGCCTTCAGAAATCAGCTTCACCCTCACCCCCTCAGAGAGACCTTTCCTGATTATTGATAAAAAGTAACCACTTTGTATCCTCCTCCACATCACTGTCTAGATTTTCTGTCCTGCGGGTATAACTACTTGGCAAGATTCTTTTTGCTTATTGTCTGTCTCTCCCATTGGGGTGTAAGCTCTGTGAGGGCAGACGCCTTGCCTGGCTTGAGCACTGCTATACTCCAGAGCCTAGAATAAACTAGACACTTAGTAGATGCCCAGTACATTATGGTTGGATGTTCTATTGAATAAGGATGGTTAGAGGGTTAGGAAAAGTTAGAGAGGTAAGGATTATGGACAAAGGGGGCAAGGGTGAGAGAGGACATAAGGACTGGGCAGAGTCAAGAAAGGGTCATGAGTGTCAAACCAACAGGCAGGAAGGACACTTACCCACCAGTCACTCCAGGACAACACAGCATCACAGACCTGCCAAGCTGCCCATACTGGACCCCTATGGAAGGCATTTCAGAGATGAGACTTCCTTTACAGCTCCCCCTGACCCCAGAACACCACCATTTTGTGAGAGTGACAGGGTAAGGATCAGACCGTTAAACCCTGGCTGGGACCACTGAGTCAAAGCATCATGTTATAATCTGGAGGCAAATGTCAGAGGACAAGGAAGAGGGGACCCAGGTTGGATGTCAGCGGTGGTGAGTCACAAGTTAGACATAGGAAGGAGCCATGGTGAGGGTGGCAAGTACTGAGTCAGAGCTGGGGATCATATGGCAGGGTTTGTCTCACCTGGGGAGCCCCAGGCCTGGGGGCAGGGGGAGGAGGCAGACACCAGGGCTGTAGCCACAGCCACCAGGACTCTGCTCAGCCCTGAGCAGCAGCTGCTCATCTGTCAGGAGAGAGGCAAGGTCAGGGGTCCCCCTTCCCTGAGATGGCTCCTCTTCTCCAAAACAGAGGCTTCCTAGGAGGAAAACTACGGCACCAAGTAGGGGTAAGACTATGAGAAATCATTGGGGATCTGACCTGAGGTAACCTTTCCCACTGTGTACTCTGTTGCACACACGTGTGTACACATACACACACACACACACCTTCCGTTTCAGTCCTGGGCTTAAGGCCCAGAACAAAAGCTCAAGAAGACAGACTGTGCCAGCAACCGCCCCCACCACCACCCTTGGCGCCCACCCCTGGCACCAAGTGCTGGCAACAGCTCGCCCCCTCCCATTAACCCCTCAAGTCCAGCTGTTGAGACTTCTGGTGTCCAGCCCCACCTGGTCCAGGGCTACCCACTGCCCCTGACTAACCTGGGGCAGACCTTATCACCCTAGGAAAGGGGGCTATGACTGTGGGTCTCAATACACTCTGTCTTTCCATTAAGAGGCCTGCTGGCTGCCAAGCCTTTTGCCTAGGCCTGGCTCCTTGCTCTGGCTATTTGGGCCACTCAGCTGGGCCTGGCTCTGAAATTTTGTGAGGTTGGATGGAGCTAGAGTGCAGGCTGAGGCTGTAGAGTTAAGCAGATCCAGATGCCCTGGCTGCTGCCAGAGGCTGGGGCAGGCAAGGAGCCAGCAGATGGAGACGGAGACAGGGTGGCGGGGAAAGAAGAGGAGGCTGAGAAGAGGCTGAAAGGATCTGGGAGCCTGCAGGGACAGGACCTGGCATAGGCACCAAGAGATACTCAGAAGTCAGACTGGGAGGTGATGGGGGCTCAATAAGAGCTGGGCTGCGGGCAGCGGGAACTCAAGTCTGAGAAGAAGCAAACAGTGTGTGTTATGGGGGTGGGAACATGCTAGGAAAGAGGGAGTCTGAACTAGCGGGGAGGGACACAGGAGGAGGAAGGCAGGCAGGAAGTGGCCACGGGGAAGAAAGGCAGATGGGGAGAGGGCCCCAGCAAGAGGCTGGAAAGAAGAGCAGGGACCCCTCAGAGAACAGAGCAGGGCCTCCACGTGTCTACGTATCTGTCTGAGTGTGTGAAGTTGGCTCACCACTGGCCCCCCAACCACATTTGCCCTGCTCAGCCCCGCCCTACCTCGGTGAACCCAGTGGCTGAGTGTCCATGGCCTCCAGGACTTCTTCCACCAGCAACAGCACCAGTCTCCTGCTCCACTCAGCTCTGGGACCCCAGAACCATGCCTTCCTTCCCCTTTTCTGCTCCGCCTCCTCTGGGCCCCAAGCTCAGCTGCCACTAGTCAGGCCCTGTCCCCCTCCTCCTTTCTCCCCTCCCACCCGAGGCCCTGGGAAGGGAAGAGGCCAACCCTCAGTCTGGAAAGGAAGCCACAGACATAGCCAGGGCCAGCAAGAGGGAGAGGAGGATTGCTTCTGCTCATATCCCTGTCAGTGAGGGAGTCCCTGTTTTGCACACAGCCACATTCATGTGTGGACTCACAAGGCACAGTTAACAAAAACACTCTCTTGAATACACATGGACTCAATCAAAGGAAAATTAGACACTCGTACCCTCAGTCTTTTTTACTCCCCAGCAAATGTTTTCTTAGGGCACAGCTGGCTGTGTTCAGTGGGGAAGGGAGGTCCCAGGTTGGGGATATAAGGAAAGACCAACTCGTCCAGTTCCCCATATCCTGGAAGTGCCAGCCATTTCTCACCACCTCCTTCACTCTTTGGGCACCAGCACCAGGAAATTCCTTTGGTCCCTTGGTGCCAGATACACAAGACCCACACTTACCCTCAGACTCACCCTCCTGGATAGTCACTCATAGTCACACCGATATGCTCAAACATCCTCATTTGGACTCAGGCACATTTATACATACTCGTACAGTCAGTCACATACACATACACTGCCCAGGACAGGGTCACGGCACTCCCTAAAAGCAACCCCTTGTCGTGTTTTAAATCCCCTCTCCCCCTCTTAGCAATGGCAGATCTGAATCTCCTCATGCGATAGGCCCCTAGACAGCCAAAGAGACAAAGATGAACAGGAGAATCCGACCTCGAGACACACAGAGAAAGAGTGGGGTCAGAACTCTGTTTGGAAAAGCAGATACATAGGCAAACCTTGGGAGACAAAATTGAAGAGACACACAGAGAAAAAGAGTCAGAAAGGGAAAAAGAAAAGAAGGAACAGAAAACCAGAGATGGGGCTTCTTGAGCAGAGGGAGGAGGGAAGCCACGTGTGCTGAGGATGGGTCTAGGGATGCTGGACACTAGGAAGATCAGCCCCATTGGCTCTTAAAGTGGGTTCCCAAAATACGGACACAGCTACACTCCCAGAGTCCAAGTTAGGACCCAGGACACACACCTTCACCAGTCCCACTGCTGCTCGGCTACTGCTGGAGTCACACATTGGCACACACAAACCCAGCCACCCACTCTCATACTGGCAGACAGACTCAGACCCCAAAGAGACCGTCC